GATGTATCTAGCAACTTAAGTTTTTGAAATTAATGCTAATGATTAATCCATAATTATGTTAGGTTTTTATGTGGACAATCATATCTTGTCACCTGCAAAAAAAAAAAATGGGCTTTTTGTTTCTTCCTTTTCATCTCTATACTTTTTCTTTCTGCCTTTCTGTTTACCTGGAATATTCAGTACACTACTGAATATTGGCTATCCTTACCATTTTCCCAATGCCAAGAGTAGGCTTTCATCATTTCACAAATAAAATTTGATATGTGATTTTATACATACCTTTTGTCAAATTTCGAATGTTCTCTTTTATTCCTAGCTTTCTAAGAGTTTTATCATGAATAAATGATGTTTCATCATATGACCTTTCTCCTTTAAATTGTTAAAGTGGTCATTTAAACCTTGTATTTCTGGAATTAAACTCAATTTTGTGAGGATACATTATCTTTTTTTAGCTGGATTTTATTTGATGATACTTTTGTTAGGGGTTTTGCACTTCACTTCATGAATGATACTGACTTATAAATTTTCATTCTCACACTGTCCTTTTAAGTTTTTCTTTTCTTCTACTTAATTTGCTCCTTTTTCTAGTTTCCTAGGTGAAAACTTAGGTCATTGATTTCAGAGTTCTTTTCAAATATAAACATTCAACACTGTCAGGACAGGGTAGTAGGCAATGTTGTTCATAATCAGTATGTCTTTACTGATTTTTTTTTCTAGTAGTTTCATCAATTTCTGAGAGAAATCTCCAACTATAATTGTGGAGTTGTCGATCTTGTCAACTTTTTTTTTTTTTTTAAGATTTTATTTATTTGACAGAGAGAGACACAGTGAGAACAGGATCACAAGCAGGGGGAGAGGGAGAAACAGGCTCCCCGCGGAGCAGGGAGCCCGATGCGGGGCTAGATCCCAGGACTCTGGGATCATGACCTGAGCCGAAGGCAGACGCTTAACGACTGAGCCACCCAGGCGCCCCGATCTTGTCAACTTTTATTTATGAACTACACATGCTAGATTGCTTGATATTTCCACAGGTCCCTGTGGTTCTGTTCTTTTTACTTTTAACCCTTTCCCCTCTCTTCAGACTGAATCATTTCCACTGATCTGTCTTCAGTTTCTCTGACTCTTTCCTCTGTTGTGCCCTTTCTGCTATGACGTCCACCCAGTGAAATTTTAATTTCACATATTGAATACTTCCACTCTAGAAGTTCCATTTTACTTATGTTTACAGTTTCTATTTCTCTGTGGTGGTTTCCTATCCTTTCATTCCAATCATATTGTCCTTTACCTCACTGAGTATATGTGTAATGGCTGCTTCAAAGTCTTTGACATTTCCAACGTCTGGGTGATCTGGGATCTGCTGTTGTTGGTTATCATTTTCTCCTACATGCCCTTAATTCTTTGAATGTCAAGAAAATTGGGGCTGTATCCTGGATATTGTAAATGTTATGCTATGGATTCTGGACTCCAGCTTCTTTCATATTTCTCCAAAGGGTAATGAAGTTCTCTTTTAGCAGGATATTCATCGGTTAGACTTATACCACAAGCTCTCGCTTGCCTGTAGCCAGTGGAATCTCAAATTCCAGCTCAGATCTTTTTTTTTTAGGGGAACTACTACAGTCCGCCCTGTGTATGTGTTGTTCAGAAGTCAGCCTTGGGCAGAGTCTACACGGAGGAATTTTGGGTTCCCCTTCTTAGGATCTCTCTTGTCTGGGATTTTGGTCTCAGTCTCTGGAAGCTCTTGTTATGCCAGGTTCTGTCCCTTGGCTGCTCAGGACAGAGGATGGCCGATTTTCTTATCAGAGTTTTAACTGCTCATATTATACTTCATCTACACAGTCTACCCCTGAGGTCAAGCTGTAAAACAAAACAGGAAATTCACCCCACCCTGGTCACGTCTTTCAAATTTTAATTTCTCCCCCAATGTGCTGCCTTTTGTTCACTCTGCAAATCTCCCAGGTTGTGTTTATCTCTTGTTATCTGGTTGGAATTTTGGCCCATGAGGAGCTCACTCTTGTGCGCTAGGAGAGAAACTTTTCCACGCCTGAAGTTATAAAGTCATGTTTTAAGAAGAGATGTTAGAGGGATGCCTGGGTGGCTCAGTCGGTTAAGCGTCTGCCTTTGGCTCAGGTCATGATCCCAGGGTCCTGGGATCGAGCCCCTCATCAGGCTCCCTGCTCAGTGGGGAGCCTACTTCTCCCTCCCCCACTCCCCCTGCTTGTGTTCCCTCTCTCGCCATCTCTCTCTCTCTGTCAAATAAATAAATCTAAAATCTTTAAAAAAAAAAAAAGAAGAAGAAGAGATGTTAGCTAAGTAGACACTTAAAATTTAATAACCATTGACAGAAGTAAACCATGCCCTGGAAAGCTACGCTACCTTTACTGATGAGAGGGGAAAAGTACTTTTTCCCATGGCTGTGGCAATGCCACCGCTGGGCCAACCTACTCAGTCTTCTCAGGCTGGTTCCCAAAGGCAAGAAGGCTTGTGAAGAATCTGGGGATGATTCTGTTACAAGCCTTTCAGATGTCCCTCACAGCATGGCTTTTCTAAATCACTGACTTTCGGTATGGAGAACTAACTCCTCTGAGACAGTGCAGAACCTCGGGCTTTTTCATGGTCATCATGGTCGCTGATGGCTTTATAACGTTGCAGCTACAATTTCCCAGAGCAGACATCACTTTAATGGTGCTTTCTAGGTGGCCGGGGTCATTTACCTCAGAGACACTTCAAAAGCATTCATTGCTGTATTTTTGTTTTGAAGGACAGAAGGGTGAATTGCCAAAGGCTGTACAAATCACAAGTTAATGTGGGGTGGGGGGCAGCCAGGGACCCTGGGGGTACTGATGGCATGTTCAGAGGCATCTCATGATAGACTGTACAGGATGTTGGACACATATTTAAATGCCAAACTTGTCAGAAACAGTATTTTTCTTCACTGTTCCCATGTTTACTAACAAAGTAATCTCCAGTAAAACTTGGCAAGTCTGAAAATGTTCCAAGATCCTTAAACTGGCCTGTACTTCTTATAATGATAGTTATGGGTCAGAAATAATGTTCATGACTGTGAGAGGTTGTGCCCCTTACATCCCAAATCTTTTGTGTGTGTGTGTGTGTGTAAATAGGCACAGCTTCAGGTCATGTTTAACTATTTTAAAGCACTATTTTTCAAAATGTGGCCCAAAGATCTCCTGCATTAAAATCCCCTGTGGTGTCTCCATGTAGGGATAGAGGGAACATACCTCACTATCATAAAAGCCATCTACAAAAAACCCACAATGAATATTATCCTCAATGGGGAAAAACTGAGAGCTTTTCCCCTAAGGTCAGGAACACGGCAGGGATGTCCACTCTCACCACTGTTGTTCAACATAGTACTGGAAGTTCTAGCCTCAGCAATCAGACAACAAAAAGAAATAAAATGTATCCAAATTGGCAAAGAAGTCAAACTTTCACTTTTCATAGATGACATGATACTCTACGTAGAAAACCCAAAAGACTCCACCAAAGAATTGCTAGAACTGATACAGGAGTGAAGCAAAGTTGCAACATACAAAATCAATTCACAGAAGTCAGTTGCATTTCTCTACACTAATAATGAGGCAGAAGAAAGAGAAATCAAGGAATTAATCCCATTTATAAGTGCCAAAAACTATACAATACCTAGGAATAAACATAAGCAAAGAGGTAAAGGATCTATACTCTGAAAAACCATGGAATACTTATAAAAGAAATTGAGGAGAACACAAAGAAATGGAAAAACATTCCATGCACATGAATTGGAAGAACAAATATTGTTAAACTGTCCATGCTACCTAAGACAATCTACATGTTCAATGCAAACCCTATCAAGATACCATCAACATTTTTCACAGAGCTGGAACAAACAATCCTAAAATTTGTATGGAACCAGAAAAGACCCCAAATAGCCAAAGTAATGTTAAAAAGAAAACCAAAGCTGGAGGCATCACAATTCCGGACTTCAAGCTCTACTACAAAGCTGTAATCATCAAGACAGTTTTGGCACAAAAACAGACACATGGATCAATGGAACAGAATAGAGAACCCAGAAATGGACCCTCAACTCTATGATCAAGTAATCTTTCACAAAGCAGGAAAGAATATCCAGTGGAAAAATGACAGTCTCTTCAACAAATAGTGTTGGGGAAAATTGGACAGCCACATGCAGAAGAATGAAACTAGATCACTTTCTTACACCATACACAAAAATAAATTCAAAATGGATGAAAGACCTAAATGTGGGACAGGAAGCCATCAAAATCCTAGAGGAGAACATAGGCAGCAACCTCTTTGACCTTGGTCACAGCAACTTCTTGCTAGACATGACTTCAAAGGCAAGGGAAACAAAGGCAAAAATGAACTAATGGGACTTCATCAAGATAAAAAGCTTTTGCATAGCAAAGGAAACAGTCAACAAAACTAAAAGGCAACCTACAGAATGGGAGAAGATATTTGCAAATGTCTTATCAGATAAAGGGCTAGTATCCAAAATCTATAAAGAACTTCTCAAACTCAACACCCAAAAAACAAAAAATCCAGTCAAGAAATGGGCAGAAGACATGAACAGACATTTCTCCAAAGAAGACATACAAATGAAAAACAGATACATGAAAAAATGCTCCACAGCACTCAGCATCAGGGAAATACAAATCAAAACCTCAATGAGATACCACCCAACACCAGTCAGAATGGCAAAAATTAACCACTCAGAAAACACCAAATGTTGGCCAGAATGCAGAGAAAGGGGAACCCTCCTACACTGTTGGTGGGAATGAAAGCTGGTGCAGCCACTCTGGAAAACAGTTCCTCAAACAGGTTCCTCAAAAAGTTGAAAATAGAGCTACCCTATGACCCAGCAATTGCACCACTAGTTATTTATCCAAAGGATAAAAACATATTTGAAATGAAAACTGAGAAATGTTGAAAAGATTTATTGACTTGTTTAAAAGTAACAATAAGCACATTATTTTTACCATAAATGCATTTTTATCAAAACTAAATGTATTTTCCAAGTTAAATAAATTTAGTGTAAAGAATATCACTTTCATTTTCACAAGTTTCTTTACTACCCAGCTTAATAGAAGTCAGCTGTATGCTAATATGCATTTCTACTTTTAGTATGTGGTTTTGGTCAAGTATATGAAGAAAATATGGCCATATGCAGATATGTAGTTAGAAAAGGAAGAAGTATTTTAAAAGCTTTACAGATAACTGAAGATATTCTTCTCTGATACAATACCAATATTCAACAAGTGATAAAGTTTCTCAAAGATTAGCTACAATGAGTTATCTGAAATCAATGGTCTTTTCATCCTCTGTTACGTTAAAATCCATTGCGCTATTTATTGCCCTCCGAGGGTTTCTTTTACTAGGTGCATGATTTTGATCTCTCAGACTCCTTGAAGAGTCTCATGCACCCCAGAGTTCCTTAGACTGCACTGAGAACCAACTTCTATGTTAACCCTCTGCATTCTGCATCTCTTGTTTTTAAAATATACCTAGTTGTGTTTTCATGGCCGTGAAACCAGCTAGAGGCTGGTGCGTCCAGGAACCCCCAGTGTGGTACATCTCGGACTGGTTACCAAAGGTCAGCATCCCACTCTGGCTCTTTAAGGCGCAGCCCTGGGAAAAGGAATGGGGAGAGTCGCTTTGTAGTGAAGGCACGGCCATCTAGATGAGTGGCAGGGCTGGGTGAGAGGTTGTCAGAAATCCCCAAGTCTGTACCTATTAAGCTGGTCACTCCTCGTCTGTGTTAATGTTGTGTTAATTCTGCTGTTTGCTTATAGTCGAATAAAAATAAAAACATGGTGTGGATGAAAAAGAATTATAATAAAATGTATGCAGGATTTTGTTCTTACTCAGGTATGGTGAGGCCCACTGATCAAGAGATGATTGCTTTTGAAAAAACGGTTGGTTACTTACAGTTCCTGAGGAGAGGAGCCGTGGCATGCCACAGAGGGCCACAGGAAGCACCCGAGTCAGTCAGAAGGCAGAATAAGCGAGGGGAAAGCGTGGGCAAAAGCCCTGACTGCAGTTTTTGTGGGACGGAATGGACGAGGCAGGGTAAGCAGCTGAACAGGTTTAGGATCAGGTAGTTTAAATAATTTCTGTGGGCTTAGGGCTACAGGTGTGGTCTCTCTGGGTGTCTGCTACCTGGCCCTGGGGAGATTTAAGGCAGGAAGATAATGTCCTAGACTGCAGGAGCCTGATAAAAGGAGGCAGATGGGGGTAAGGGCCTGGGATTGGTTGGTTTGTATATCAAAAGTGTGCTTGTTCTTCTCAGGCCAGTGGTTTGCTATCTGTAGGAATTAGCTACCCCTTGGGGGAGGGGCGGTCCCTCCTCAGGTCTATAAGGCCCCACTGCGTCAAAGCATCAAGGAATACAAAAGGGGCAATACCTGGGTGGCTCACTTGGTTAAAGCGTCCGACTCTTGGTTTCAGCTTGGGTGGTGATCTTGGGGGTCCTGCGATGGAGCCCTGCATCAGGTTCCATGATCAGTGGGGAGCCTGCTTCAGGATTCTCTCTCGCTCCCTCTGACCGGCCCTGCACTCGCTCTCTCTCTCTTTCTCTCTCAAATAAATAAATCTTAAAAAAAAAGAAATACAAAAAAGAAATACACCATATATTAATGTAACATTGTGTAATCAACTATACTTCAGTAAAAAATATAAAAAATAAAAATAAAAATATGATCAATACACCTTTCAGGTTGGTTTACTTTCCCATAGTATACCAGATATATTCTGACCCCATCCCTTTTCTTAAGCCTATTTAACCCCTGTATTTGTTTTACCCATTTGTATTTTCTCATCCATCATGATAGAGATCAAAGCTCCTCTCTACTTTGAAGCTTTTGCGGACAAATAATTTGGTATTTCATCAATGGTACATTCCTCTGCAACACCACTTGAATTATTGTCCTATGTTGTTATTATACTTCCCAGGGGTATAAGCTAAATCTCTCCAACTAGATTGTTAATCTCTTTTTACACTGTTTGCATCTTCTAGACTGAGCCTCTACCTTTGTTGCTCTGGCTTGTCTCATCCTGGCTTGCCAGGATCTCATTTTCTCTGCTCCTATCTTCTTGCCGGATCGCCTCTCCACAGTCCTTCCCTTTGAACTGGACAGATGCCTATGACCGGTCCTTTGGTGCTGCCCTTGCCTCTACTCCTCCGGTGGTCTGCACTTGTCTCTCAGAGCACATTTGCTTCTGGTCATTCTGGCTCTTGTCTATCTCCTGGGACATTTCCTCACCTCTTCCATGAGTTGTAGGAAGAGTGAAACAGACATAAGGCTTGGATTATTGTAGATCTTACGCAGATATGTGTGTGTAGACCTATGGCTTTAAAGCCTTTTAAGTCATACTGTTTTCAGTAATTTGAAATTTTATATGTGATTTGTGCCATCAAAAACAGCACTTTAACAAGCCTCTTCTGTGTTCCCCTTCTCCTGTGTCTTAAGAACTTTAAGATAATTCATGAAAAATATCTAACTACTTTGCTTTCACTGTCTTGTCTGACATGTAATCTTTGCCTAAAGGAGTTGGAAAGCCATCTCAACCTTCTTTGATTTAGTTAAAGGAGTCCTATTTGAAAGCTTATTCTGAAACAAAACCTCATAAATGTCATATAACTAAAATTAATATTATGGTGGGGTCTTTAGAACTGTATTTTCCTTTCATTAGCTTTGACTCAATATCACAGCCTGATTCGTACTATGGTTAGATTAGATGTAGTCAATAAACAACAACAAAAATTTTTTTGTGGTTTTTCTTCCTTTCTTTTTGTAATTAAATTTTTATTTTTTTTAAGATTTACTCATTAATTTTTTAGAGAGAAAGCATGAGTGGGAGGGGCAGAGGGAAAGGGTCTTTCGTTTTTTTTTTCCTTCTCCCTCTGCCTCTCCCACTCGTGCGCTCTCTCTCTCTCTTTTTTTAAAGTAAACTGTGCACCCACTGTGGGGCTTGAACTCAAGACCCCAAAATCAAGAGTCACATGCTTTAATGACTGAGCCAGCCAGGTGCCCCTAAACAAAAGCATTTTTAAAGCTAAAGAAAGAGATTTTCATTTGTCTTTGTTTAAACTTCCAGATTCCTTTATGAATTCAAAGATCATGAACATTTTATTTTCTAATGGGGCAAGAAATACATGTTGGGTTTTAGAGTGGTAAAGTCATTCATTTCTTACCCTAGAGTTTCATTTTGCCATTTCTCTGATAACTGATTTGCATGGATTCTGCTAGTGTGCTAATGAATTTGGGACACAAAGGCCATATCATTTTAAATGGAATATGGAAGACGTTAATCTTCTGACTAAAGGTTAAATAGTAATTTGGTAGTAGAGCAAGACTCTCGGGGCACTTGGGTGGCTCCATCGGTTGGACCTCCGACTCTTGATTTTGGCTTGAGTCATGATCTCGGGGTCCTGGGATCAAGCCCCGCGTGGGGCTCTGTGCTCAGCACAGAGCCTGCTTGTCCCTCTACTTCTGGTCCTTCCCCCACTTGCTCTCTCTCTCTCCCTTAAATAAATAAAATCTTAAAAAAAAAAAAAAGACTCATACAGGGTATTTAGAAGAATACAGCAATTAGTTGATTTCATGTGATATTTGTTTTTGGCATCTAAGATTTGACTCTTAAACACAGGGATGTTTTGTGGAAGAAAACTGTCCTCTGTTTTCTCCTAATAACCCATTATGGATATATCATCTACAAACTGACCTTAATCTTCTTTGGAACCACTTAACTTTGAGGACTTTACCAACATGAATTTTAAAAGTGTCTCAAATTTATTGTCCTTTGTATAACTTTAATTTTAATTAAGTTATGCTCATTGTCTTAAATGTACCTCTTACAAACTACAAAGAAGTCTTTCCCACTTCTCATACACTAATATTTAGTTAGGTGGTATATTATCACTTGACCAATTCCTGTCATAGTTTTACATGCTGTTTGTTTTAAAAATGATTATGATGCTTACTGTTATTAAGCTTTTATAATCAAATGAAATAATGCATGAGCATGTTTTGAAAAATATGTGTGAGCTATACATGTGTGAGCTACAGTTTATAAACTCTGATCATATTCCTTCTTAACATCTATCTTTCTTAAGTTATAGCCTTAATCATTTGGCTGGTTTCCAGATAATAGGACCCAATATAGTTTATCACTCTGATGATGTCTTTCTGGATTTTTTCAAGAGTCATTCTAGTCTTCTTGAGGTACCATGTAACTAGAACCATAAAAATATTTCCACAGCTTTTAGAGTATGGTTTTATAGAAAAGTAAGTAAAGGTTTTCTACATTATTTCTAAATGTCTTTTCTATTTAAAAAATATTAAATATTTTAAACATCTTAAAGACCTTAAAGTGTGGAGGGTGATCCACCACTACATTTGCTTATCATGGAGTTCAATGTCACTTAACATTTATGGCACTTCCACTTTGGTCTCCTACCATGTTTAAATTTATTTATTATTTAGCTTATTGAATAAAGCAATTTAAGCTAGTATAGTGATAAATAGAAATGGTAAAATGTCTCCCCCCACCGCCAAAAAAAAAAGCTTTCAATTTTTGTATGTGCCCTCCTTTATTATACTGATGCTATGATACTTACAACTTCTTGCCTTATTCTTTTTGGGGGGGGGGCATAATCTTTATAGATTTCCCTATTTCTAGTCCAATTATTTCAGCTACTGAAGTTGTTAATATTCTACATTAAAATTTGCTAGTTCATTCTTGCATTCATACATTTTCCCTGAATTTCCCTCCCAGATGAAGTGGGAATGTGGTGACCTGAGGCTGGATTAATGTGTGAGGATAACAGAATCTGATGTCCAGAAAGATCTGAAACAGACCTGACAGCAAAGCTGGAACAAACCTGGCAGAGAGTTGAACTGGTATGAATGTTTGCTGAATTTGTTTGTTGCTAACCAAAGTGGCAATGAGAAGGGGCACAGCAGAATAGAGGATGGTGGGAATGAGGCACAGGCTGGGAATCAGAGGCACTGAGTGGAACAAGCCGGTGCATAAGAGAAAGCAGGATGGAGGTGCTTAGAAAGACTTTACATAGGGCTTGAGGATAGCCCTGGGAGCTTCTAATAGGATACCTGAGGCCCTATTATATGGATGGAATCAAAGTGGTTCAGGACATGGAGAATGCTCAGGTGCATTCATTCAACCCCCAGTTGTTTACACGTCCACTGAGTCAGGTGCAGGTGATACAAAGAATATAAGTCTTGTTTCTGGTACATTAGAGAGGTATTATTTGACATAACATAAACCTTTTTTGGTGCAAACAAAACTTAAAGCTTTTTAAGAACATCTTGTCTCTACGCTTAGCCTGGGACCCATAACATATCTTATTAAAAATGTGAATATAGGAGCGCCCGGGTGGCTCAGTTGGTTAAGTGTCTGTCTTTGACTGAGGTCATGATCTGAGGGTCCTGGGATCAAGTCCCGCATTGGGCTCCCTGCTCAGCAGGGAGTCTGCTTCTCCCTCTGCCGCTGCCCCCTGCTTGTGCTCTCTCTCTCTCTGTCAAATAAAATCTTTTTTTAAAAAATGTGAATATACTTGTAGAAAATATTGTGAATTCCTGCAACAAATGTGGTTTCTTGTTTCTTATATAAATCTTTGACATGTTTCTTCAATGGACAATTGCCCTTGACTAGAAAGAATAGATAAACTTTGACTAAAGTAAGAACATGACAAGACATTTGGGGAAAAGCAACATAAGCTGCGTGGATGTTGGGTTAGAAGGCATGTATTAATTATGCCCCAAAAATGGATCTTAGAATTTTGAAGTTGGTTTCCTAAAGCTATTAGTTCACATTTAGTATCCTGGAAGTTAATGGAAATCAAAAATAGAAATATAATCTTACCTGTTATAAAACCATGTTATGTCTTTACTTGGAATGTTTCACTTCAAATAAGACTACAGTGATCATGGAAAGGATCAAAAAAGGGAACCCAAACTGGACAGGAGATAAAGACAGATTTTTTAAAAAAATAATTCTTGTTTATTTTAGAGAAATAAAGACTTAAAAAGTTGGATCATAGGAAGGTATAGCTGAGTACAAATAATGAATAATTCTGAATACTAAACTTAGACTGCATCTTTTAAAGTAAAAAGAGGTAAATTTTGGGATAAATGACTACTCTGTAGCATTTGTTAATGTGGCTATCTATTGCACTACAGCAATGTTTTATTTATTTATTTTTTAGATTTTTATTTATTTATTTGAGAGAGAGAGTGTGTGTGTGTGTGTACGAGCAGGGGGAGGGACAGAGGAAGAGGGAGAAGCAGGCTCCCCACTGAGCAGGGAGCCTGCCTCAGGGCTCCATCCCAGGACCCCAGGATCATGACCTGAGGTGAAGGCAGACGCTTAACCAACTGAGCCACCCAGGCGCCCCAACAGCTATGTTTTAAATCTCAATTGCATATTGATATTTTACCTGACCTTAGTGCCCTGCCCAGATAACTCTTCTTCTCACTGTACCTCTACAGAGATTCATGGAGTTCAATCATCATAGGTCCAATAAACATCATTGAATGACCAGAACAAAATGAAATTAAGTATAAATAAATA